CGCCCTGCAGGAAGGCTTTCCTGGGGCAGTGACAGCGCGGGACCTGCCGTAAGCCGTCTCTGGTGCGCACCAAGGGGGGCGCCGTGCCTCACGGAGCGGGCGGGCGGAGCCTTCTGTCCACTGTCGCCTCTTGACTCCTCCTGCTTGTGTGCTTCCTTTTCAGCACCTTGTCCAAGCAAAGGAAGAACGTCATCAGCTGTGTCACCGTGCACGACTCCCCCTACTCGGACTCCTCTAGCAACAACAGCCCTTACGCCGTGCAGCATCGCGCGGGGCAGAACAACGGCAGCGCCTACGACACCAAAGGGGTTCCAGAGACTCACTGCAGTGGGAACCCTCGAACGATCATCGTGCCACCACTGAAAACCCAGGCCAGTGAGGTGTTGGTAGAGTGCGATAGCCTGGCACCAGGTAAATTGCACCTCTTCCGTCAAGAAAATTAGTAAGAAATAAATGATTTATCTTGGAAGAATCTCATTGTTCGGTTTCATTTTGTTTGTTTGTTTGTTTTGTTTTCCAAAGAAACCATGCTCCTGCCCTTCTCTCAAGGGACACTTCTGTTCTTGGGAGCCATAGTGCATTATTTATGTGCCCTGGTACACTCAGGAGTCACGGGGGCAAAGTGTCGGTCCCAGCTACTTCTGTACAAACCCAAGAACAGGATGCAGCCTTTAGCTCAACATTTGACATGAAAGGCTCCCAAGTGCAAGTGTGAACCTTTGCTGCCTTGCCTTTCCTTAGGTTTACTTTAAAACGGGTAAGAGAGTGGAAACACGTGTGTGTTTCATTCAGACTTGTTGACGTTGCTGGGAAGAACATCTCCCCAGGCTTCCATTATGGACTGAATGAGGTTTGCTCATCCAGAGCCTCTACAATGCTAGATAGTGTTGAAAAGGGGCTTATGGTGGACGTCTGGCCCGAAGCATTTGGCTCTGAGCTACTTGGCAGTCCTTGCTTTTGACGCACTGCTGGTGAACACAAAGGCTCAGAGGGTGAGCTCCCCACTAGCTCCTTCTCCCTGACTTTCTACTCACTGTGAGGTCAGCCAAACCAGGGCTTTTTGTGCTGTGCACACTTATACTTTCCTTCCTCTCCTTGGGATTTGTACCTGCATCATACAGTTCTGCTGGCAGAACAGTTTCTCACACTTCTGAAGGATCTGTAAAGCCTTCTCTGGGCCCAGTTTGGGTCCAGATATTGGGTCTGCTTGTCTGCTTCTAGGATAACAGGCTGGCCGTGTATATGAAGCACTGCTGAGGTATTCTGTTAATTAAAAGAAACTGTTTTCTTATCCTACTTCTGTTGTATGTCTCCTCCCAAAAGCCACTCTGGAGGAGATTCAGTGAGGAAAAGGTAGGGTGAGCAATTAAAGAATGTGATGTAAGCTACAAATGTGTTTCCTTTCCTGGCACAGTCACCACCAGTCACCACTCATCCTCCTACAAGTCCAAGTCCTCCAGCACCGTGACCTCCACCAGCGGTCACTCTTCAGGGAGCTCGTCTGGAGCCGTTGCCTATAGGCAGCAGCGACCAGGAGCACATTTCCAGCAGCAGCAGCCTCTTAATCTAAGTCAGGTAAGTCAACAGAGACAGATTTTGGTGGTGCATCATCCACCGGTTGCCTGCCACTCCTCCAGCATGGGCTGTCCTGTCCCCATCTAATGGTAGTTGGGCCCCATGTCAAGTTTGATCAGCTTATTTCAGCTTCACTGCAGACCTTGATCTTCCAGCCCAGGCAGCACCCAGATCCCACCCCTGAGCAGGCTGGTGGTACTCTTATCATGTGTCTTTAAGTCAAAAGATCTAAGAGTATAAATGGGAATAACGCGAGAGAGAGAAGGTGAAGTGGCTCACGCACAAAGGAGTGGGGCAGGACTGTACAGAAAGGACAAAATTCTCCTTATATAGAGAGAGGTAACCATGGGTAAGAGTATCTTCCAAGTGAAGGGAGTGCGTCAGCCTGGCTGTAAGATTGGGAGATAAATCCCCACCAGATGTGACAAATTAATGCATATACATGGCCTCGTGTAATGAACTTGATCTATCCTGTGATAAACCTGAGCTGAGATCTGGCAAATCCCATTATTCAGCAGCATGCACTTCTCAAGGTGTTCCATTGTCTGTGCTCAAAACTGCCAGGGAGGTCCCCAGAAGCTTCAGTAAATGATGCCTTTTTCACCTACTGCACCTGGGGCCTTTCCTGTTCCCCAAGGTGAGGTAAGGAGAGTAGGGAAGTTAAGAGTACTGTTACCAACATTTCAAGAGGAGAAAAGTTTGGAGAGCTCGGAGGAGAGTGTTGATTTGCATCCAGAACTGGATAGAGGCAGAACTCATTTTTTTAGAAAAATAATTTGGGGAAACACCCACCTCCTCAAAATGTAATTGAAATTTAGAAATTTAAACAAACTTGAAATAAAAGTGAGTGAAAATGGAGGAAGTGGGTGAGATGCTGTTTCCAAGAGTGGGGAAGAAGTGTGGCTGATGCATTTCAGACCACAAGGACAGTGTGGGGAGTGCTTACAAAGGGTGAGAGGGTTTGGGAGAACAGAAGGAAATACCATGGAGCATTGCCTTTCTTGCCTTCTAATCCTATTGGTTATTTAATGCTCTGACTACAAATGACTGGGAAAACACCTGGACATTATTATGCAATGCAAAAGCCCTAGAAAATCCCTGTAAAAATACATTGCTCCTGTCCCACTGCAAGAAGTTGCCTGTGCTCAAGTACTTATAGCTGATTACATGACGGTACCAGGCACCTACAGGATCTGACCAAGCCAAGGGTTTTGTCTTTAAAAAATAAACTAGTTATTTTGGCTAACTGAGAAAATGATAACTGCAAAGACCCAAACTGAGCAAAAATAAATGGCCTGTAGTTAGTCAGCTTCACTCCCCTGAGCTGTCAGAGCAACACATTTTGTCAGCAGAGTTCACCAACAAAAGCAGTGTGTTGATGAGTGACTGGACTTGAGGAAGATGTTCTTAGGAGCCAGGCATGCAAGGTTGGGTCCTCATGGTAGCTGGTCAGCTACCACACTGGCCAGCAGGTTCTGGCTCAAACTGGAGGACTCCGTTGTCCTTCTGAGGGCCGTTTTGGTGAACATGTGAAACTACAAGATCTTCCTGGGCTTGGGAGGGACCTTTTGCTGTCACCCATTTTCAAGTGAAGGCTGTGGCGATGCTGAGTGTGTCAGGAGGAGCACAAGGGACTTCCATGAGGCCATCCTGGTGTGGCAGGGAGGCTCCTAGGCTCCACTGAGGAGAGAAAGAGCCGTCTCCTGTCTTGTAACCACTTATCACTGTTGCTGTCTTTATCCAGGCCCAGCAGCACATCACGACCGATCGCACAGGGAGTCACCGGAGACAGCAAGCCTACATCACTCCAACGATAGCTCAGGCCCCGTACTCTTTCCCGCACACTAGGGCCAGGCACGGTACGGTTCACCCCCACTTGGCTGCGGCCGCCGCTGCTCACCTGCCCACCCAGCCCCACCTCTACACATACACCGCCCCTGCTGCCCTGGGCTCCACGGGCACTGTCGCGCACCTGGTGGCTTCCCAAGGGTCTGCGCGGCACGCCGTGCAGCACACCACCTACCCCGCCAGCATCGTCCACCAGGTCCCCGTCAGCATGGGCCCACGCGTTCTGCCCTCGCCCACCATCCACCCAAGCCAGTACCAGGCTCAGTTTGCCCACCAGACCTATATCAGTGCTTCTCCAGCCTCCACAGTCTACACTGGATACCCACTGAGCCCCACCAAGGTCAACCAGTACCCTTACATCTAAACACTGGAATCAGGAGTGAGAGACGTGCCCGTCCCGTGGAGCGAGGCGGCCGCTTTTGTGCTGAAGAACGGGACAAACTAACAATGCAAGGGGAGGCCCACGCGAAACTTGAATGAAGGAGACTGTAAGGAAGAAATTAAAAAGGAAAGAAGGGGGAGAACCAATTCTACACTTTTTATTTAAAAAAAAAAAAAAGAAAATGGAAAAAAAGAACAGAAAAAAAATAAACCACAAACAAAAAAAAAATTCTGCACCAAACTAGAGAGAGAGAGAGAAGCAGAAGGGCCCTCCAGTGGGTCCTGTCTTCTGAAGAACTTCACCAACAGACTTTTAAAGGTTATTTTCATCCAATAGTGAGCTACATTTAGAAATTTGTTGTCCACAACACCTAAAATGAAATCCATTAGGTTTTTAATCCAATAGGCATATGGATTAGGGATTTATCCAGCATTTCAAAGCGTTTGTACCCCATCTTTGCAGTGCTTTTCTGTATCCCCAAGTATATGTAAGGGTTTGGGTTGGGTTTTTTTTTCTAGAAGTAGAAAGTGGGTAAGGGAGACTGAAGGAGGAAGAGAAAATGCTGTCCCAGTGTTCTAAATTTGGTTCTAGTACTGCTACGCTTCAACACACGTGGGCAAAACAGGCCACGCAGCACGGGTTGAGAGCAGAAGCAATGGGGACGTTTCTCCCTTTCCTTGAAACACTGGATAAATCCCTGAGAAATGCTGTTCCTAAATGAGATCTCTAATAATGTATGTTGGATTTCAGTTGCGTTGCATTTTATTTTATTTGGAAATTTTCCTTTTTGATCCCTAGCCGTTTTAGTAGAGGAGGAGACATTTTAGCTGCCCCTACCCCCCGCCCCTGGTAGAATGTAGCACTATACAGGTCATAGGCCCTTTTTACTCTTTTGTGTTGAACTTTGATGATACCAATAGACTATTCCTCAATGTGATTGCACAAAGAAAAGTGATATAACATAGGCATGTAACAAATGTGATTGTCCAGGTGTGTGCGTGCGTGCGTGCGTGCGTGTACGTGCAGATGCTGCCTTCTCTCTGTGGTGTGTTCCTCGGCACAGCCATTACAACTGTCACAGTCTTAGTTTTACATCATTCCCTCGTAGTGCCTTACCGAACTACAGACGCGGTTTAAGGGTTTACTTCCACTGGTACTCCTAGAAACTGACTGAGGCTAGTCGGAATTTACTCTCAGCTCTTTTCCTTTTCTTCTTTTTGGGGTTGTAACTGCCGATTTTCTTCTTCTGGTGGTGGTGTTTGGTTTGTTTGGTCGGGTTTTTTTTTCTTCCCACATCGTCAATCTTAGCTCACTTGGAGAGGTGTTGGGGAGGCTCGTCAGCGTTGGAAGTGCATCTAGCTGGGCGTTTTGTCGAGCACTGGATGGGCTGGAAGTGACCAGGTCGGTTGTGAGACCCAGGGTGACTCCCAGAGGGTCTGGGGATTCATTTGTGAACTGGTCTGTTTCCGTCCTGTTGAAATAGCAGGTTCCCCCCCCCCCGAAACTGATTTCTCATGCTACTGTTCACCAATGTTGGTGGTGGAGTGGAAGGACAGCGTCCACCCGCGTTGTCAGGTTGTCCTGGTTCTGTGTCCTAAGTGGGAACAAATGTTTAGACCGTGAAAGGGGGAAACACTGGTTGTTGCCAACATCTCTCACTGTGTCTGTCGATGGGAGGGGATTGGGAAAGGGCTGGAGTCTCAAAGCAGCATGAGGAAGTTCAGTTGAGAGAGTCAAACTCAGGTTTCGTAAGTGAAAAGTGTTGTAATGCATCAGGCCTTACCTGCTCCAGCGCATCTGTGACAGCGCGTGCTCCTCCTCCTCCCTTCCCACCCGCGCCCGGAGAGACCGGCTGCAGCGGCAGAGTGGCCCTGGAACTGGAGAGCACGGTGGGCCTGGGGGTCCTCCACGCCAAGGAGCGTGACGTGGTTATCTTGTTCTCTGACAGCTTTCTAAAGACAGCCTTTCCTACAGTTGGGTTTGGTTCAGACAGGAGTTTTGCTGGTAACAGCAGTTGAACTGGTGCATCAGTATTTGGAAGTGTCTCTACAGTACCAATGCCTGTGGATGGCGTGGGGAGGAAGGAGAGAAGAGAGTTTGATAGAGCGTTTCCATGTTTCCATGAAAGCTGAAGTCTATGTGACTGCTAGGCTCCACTCTAACTTTCCCTGTACCTAGAAGATGAAGTATTCAGGTATTTGCAAGATGCTGGAAGACAGCAGGTGCATTGGCAGGATGGGAAGGGATGGTTTCCCTGGGTGACAGTGAGGAAGGAGGCTCTCTCAGGTGGGAAAAGCTGACAGAGAGACGAGCACAATTGTCTTGTGGTAAGTGCTTGGCTGGCCTGGAAAAAGAAGATATCCCGCTATGCATAGGCTGTTCAACAAGGCTGTTATCTTCTGGCAAACCACCAAATAACATCCCTGGTTGCCAGCGCTGGTTCCTGGGCTACCCTTGCACAGTTTTACTCCTCTGCCTCTCCTTCATTCCAGCGCAATATACTGTAGATGAGGATGTGATCTCCCAGCAGCCTATGCACCTTAACCCCTCTTCCTTTGGACAGACAACACATCCCCTTTCATCTGAGGCAGGGAAGTAAAGCCCTGCTGTCTCTGTTGCATTCCTCTCCTCTCCCACCAGTTTGGGAGTGAGAGTGTCACGCTGCTTGTGTCATGAAAAGGAAAGATAATGTTATTTTATTATATGGTTGTTACGATTATGATTATTATTTTATTATTATTATATTTTACTCTGGGTTTTAATTGCACACGCATTCCTTGATCTTTGTGGTTGTTCGGGGTTTTTTTTTTTATCTTAGTATTGTTGTTACTGTTGTTAATTTTATTTCTCTTCATCAGTGGCATCAGGAGGGTTGCTGTGTTTATGAAAGCTGCAGGGGGAAGGGGAAACCAGATTGCCCCAAGGATGAAAGCTCTGCCACTAACTTAGGGGCAGTGGGGCCGCTCTGTGAGAGTGGTTACAGCCTTGAGGGACAGGTGAGTTATCCTCCAGGTCACTTCTGTGTTTCAGAGCAAATCCAGAAACATTCATCCAGAGGCCAAAAAACAAACAGCAGCTAACATGATGATCTGTTAGGAGAGCTGAATCAAAGGCAGGTAAGGACCCTGGTGCTGTAGGATCCAGCTCACCATCATCTGTATTTTATAGGACGTTTGCATGAGCTCCAGGCCACAATCATTGGGCCCCTTCAATGAACCCAACGCCACGCTACATGTCAAGGTTTTTGTTTTCCTAAAGGAGAAAACAGGTGGCTCTCCAGAAACAGGGCTATTGGAGGAGCCACAGCAGAGGTGTGAGTGCAGCTCTGCATCCCATCACTGGATAAGGACACCGATGCAGACGGATGGCGTTAAGCTGGTAAAGCATGGCCACAGGCAGGGCAGGGTTCCTCACCTGCTCTTCCACTCTCACTGAAGATTAATCAAGTGTCCACAGGGCCAGGATGCTTGGTTTGGGTTTGGTTTCTTTTTTTTGTCCCTGAGGTAGATTTTCCCTTCTTTTGTAATTATTTGTTATGGAATTTTATTAAGCTATTCTGGTTGCTAGAGTTTAAATATTTATGTTTTCATTTGCATCGCCTGCTCTGTTAGAATGGGGGGAAGCAGTGACTGAATTTAAACTCCATAAAAAAATGATAGGAGTTCAGCAGAGACTTAAAGTTAATCATGCATTTGAGCGCTTTGGTAAAGAACAGACTTAAACCCTTCAAGATAATTACTTGTTTATGCGCTCCTCTGGCCTAGGACCAGCGAAGCATGGAAGGTTGCAATCTCAATCACAGTAATGCTTTACTTGTATTAATTGCATTTTCCCTGCGTACCCATCCGACCTGCTCTCTCACACGGGCTTGAATCTGCTTTGAGGGAGCATGTGGCAGTGGAGCTGTTATAACAGCACAGGCTGGCAGTGAAAAGGGGCACAGTGCATGGCGGAGGAACCACCTTTCACGTTGTCCGTCCTGAAGCTGCTGATCTGCCAGCTCTGGGTGGTCAGATATCATGGTGATGGGACACTGTGATTGCAAGAGATGCACAGCACAGCCATCAAACTGGTTTGATGGTGCAACACTGCATGAGAGCTGTGTTTTCTGGTGGGTATGGGGAAGCTGAGCAACACCTCTTCCCTCACACCTGTGTGCAGGCATAGTATGGAAAAAGGCATGGTGCAGTTAGTCACAAGGGAAACATGGTCCTTTCATCAGAGGAAGCAAACGTTTTGCATGCTGTTGGTGCCACATACATAACAACAGCCAGCTTTGTTTGCTTGCAAAGTCCTTTGGAGAGGAAATGAGATTGGTGTGGTTGGGTTGGATTGGTGTTCTTCGTGTGCATGGGGTAAACGGCGTGGAAACTTGAGAGGGGAGGTGAATGTTTAGATACTGGAAGATCTATGGGTGACCTGTGGCTGGCACTGTGAAAAAGCAGTCCCTTTCCCCATCATCTCGTCTTTCATTCTTCCTGTGGGGGAAGCAGAAGGAAGCATGGATGTTGCCTTTCCTCGGAAGTGGATGTTGAAATTCCTACCATGAAACCAGAATGCAGGAGGGAGGGAAGAGAACTGCTAACACGAGCAGTATGGAAAACACAAATGGAAACACTTTTCACTGCAGATTGGTCCAAATCCAGTCTTTTGAGAGAGCAAATGCAATTGCATCTTCCTCAGCAGAGCTGTACCTGCTTGCACCCAATAAATTGGGCCCTGGTGGGTCTCTTTCTCTCTCTCATAGTTTTGTTGTCATATATAAAACATTCCAAGAAAGGGACACTTCTGTCTGTGACATTTTTCCTTGGAATTTGGTTTTAAGGCAATTCCATTAACAAACTTGAAGGGCGATAAACCTGTTTTTTTCTTTAACCAAAGATTTTATTTTCTTTTTAAGAGAGAGAAAGAGACCCTCACCCACTCCAGAAATGAAATGAAACCATGAGTCATGACTGCCAGGCACTGGGGATACACGACGGAACTCCAGCTTCCCTTTTTCTTCTTTTTCTTTTTCTCTCTCAAGTTTCTGTCATTGTTTTGAGTAGCTAGCTTGATGAGCAGAGAAGTTCACACTAAATATTGCTGCTATCCTAAACTGTAGGGGATGTTGAAATCTTTATTCTTCTCTCATTATTGTTCACATTGATTAAAGTGTTTCAGTGGCAACAACGTAGTGTGGAAATAGTGAGCT